TCCTTTCTCCCTCCCTGGTCCTCTCTGCCTTTCCTTCTCCTCCGTCTCTTCTTCCCTCCCTATCTTCCCCTCCCTCCTCTTTCTTTTTTGAGGGATTTTCTTTTTAGGAGGCACTGAGAAGATTATTCCATTCCCCCAGAAGACTGCAAAGACAAGAAACTATAACAGCATTCTGGAGTCCTACAATCTCCTGTTGCGAAGCTAGTCCTGGCATCACTGTCCCTTTTTCATTTTATCAGGTTCAAATTCTTCCCTTCTTCCCCAAGCCTTTTAAACAAGCAGAGAACCCCCCCACACCCCAGAGGGGTATCCAGAGTTTTCTCATGCCTTAGAAAAACTCACCTGAAAAGGGCTGCTCTGTTACCCACAGCTCTAAGAAATGGCCCAACCTTCAAGGCTGAATATACCTGCTCCATTTTGTATCATGAATCACATGACCAGGTAGACAGCTTCATAGTTTATATTACAATACATAAATCTATCTTTTAAAATGAAAAACTATCTCCTTCAACTGAAACCAATTTGCAGGCTATGTACACCAATAATATGGCCACGCTACCCCACACTCTCCCTGTGCTGAAAGGAGGAGCGCATGGCAGAGACCTCTTGAAGTGAGGATGCAGTCATTGCACTCTGTAAGGTTCACTCTGAGTACCTGAGAAGGTACTTGAAGCTGCTCCACAGTCACGCTCTGTGACCTTGGCTTTGGGCTTTGAGCTGCAGCATTTATGGGGGCTGCCTCTGTGGTAACCACAGATTGAGGCGATTTACCTCCATGGACCCCATAATTACTTAGTCTAAAGCTCAAGCCCAGCCTGCAGTGGGAAACGCTACGCAGGGCTGATATAAAACAAGGCCTGCAGTTCTGAAAGCCAGAGCAACTGTCCACTGAGTGTGATGACTCAATCCCATGTGCAATGCCTGCATTTGTTTTAGCTTCTGATAGTCAAGAAGAAAAATACACGAATGCTCTAAGCTTTTCTAGGGCCAGGTAGCCTTCTATGAAGCTAGAATATGAGAGAATAAAAGTTCTCACTTAAGCATGGTTATTGACCTAAAGAATTAACTGTATCTCTAGAAAGAAGCTTTAAAAATATCTACTCAGTTTTCTTAAATGCTGAGGCAGAACCATAGCATTTTAAAGCTACTTAGGGCTTGAGCGAGTGAGTCTCAGAGAGGCTTTGAATTGGACCCAAAGATACTTTGCGAGTGCATGATAGAGCTCACCCTAGACTCTTCCATGATGGCTGTGAACATTCTCTTTCTCTCTCGCATACATGTACACAGACACATATCCAAGTATATGCATAGCAGAGGCTTCTTGGGATGCTATGGTCTCATATCATTAGTTATTGAAAGATGTTTGCACTAGACTAATAGGGATGGGAAATACTTAAAAATTCTTTACACTGTATTTCTATTTATTTACTCAATTTTAATTGATTTTTTTGCAATTTTCATATAGTATAATCTGATACTATTTAGATCCCTTCCCAATCCATACCTCTCCTTACTGTACCCCCATAAATTAGACTCTATACAGTCTATAGAGTCTAATTTGTGTCCCCAAATGTTCTTCAATGTGGGTCCATCCATTGAGTCTGGTTAAGCTCCCAAGAGTCCTATTGAAAGAGACATGTCATATTGCTTTGACTACTTGTGTGTGTCTGTGTTCATGAGTGTACATGTGTTCCTGCAGGTGTACATGTATGTGTTGAGGTTAGGTTGGTGTTGCTGTCTTCTTCAATAGCTTTGCACCTTCTTTTCTGAGATGGGGTCTCTCACTGAACCAGAGTGTACCAAAGCAGCTGTACTGGCTGGCTAGAAAGCCCCTGGGATCCACCTGTCTCTGCCTGCCTAGGACTGGGATTACAGTGTGTCACTATACCCAGCTTCTTTATGCAGGTGCTGGGGTTTGAACTCAGGACCTTTTGCTTAGAGGGCAAGCACTTTACCAATTTAGTCATCTCCCCTGGTCCCGCTTTGACGATTTTGATCTAGAATTTTATATTCATGGATAATACTAATATCTGAGCACATTAGATTTGTCTGCATTTAATGTTCAATTTGGAAAATTAAATGTCTCAAAGTATTCAAATTTTTACATGTAAATACCAAGTAGAAGTTGGGCAGAACTCTTAAATATTTATATTTTTATTGGCCGCCACTTTTTTCAATAAAGTTTTTGAGAGTACTACTTATTACAGATTGAAGCCAAGTATCTTTCATATAAATATAGCCCACTGATCTAAAAAAAATGCGACATTTACCATATAAAAATGCCCTAAAGTTGAATGCTGTCCAGATAAATATACAATTTTAATAGTTATTTTTAATATTAAATGGGGTGGGAGGAGGTAAAATTCAGTTTTAGAATTTATTATGTCAAATTAGGTGAAATTGTAGTTTCTCTAGGTGAAACACTATTGAATCAGAAACTTAATATGGTCAACTAACACTGTGTTCAATTTCAGATTGTTCTGTGAGAGAATGGGAAAATGTAGAAATAAAAGAGTGGAAAAGTAGGAGAGACAGTTATTAGAAGCAGAGAGAACTTTCTATTTTCTTTGTCATATTTAATCCTTACAACAAAGGAAAATCTGTATTCTTCTCATTTTATAGATAAGAACACTGAGATTTAGAACAAATTAAGTAACCTGCTTAAGTCAGACCAGAGATCCTAGGTGAACAGGAGTGAGAGTCTCTGGTACCTGGGTAACATGGGCTTCAGTGAACTCTTCATAACCTTACCCTCACACACTTACAGAAGATCGCCAACCAAGATGGTTCTTGGGCAATTTCCCAGTGTATTTAACAAAGAATTTAATGAATGAAGCGGCTACCACTTCTTTTTGATGATGGTGAAGATTATTGATTACAAGTTTTTCCTCCTTGCATTAGGTACATTTTTCTTTTTCAAAATATTCATTTATTTATTTTACATATAGGAGTGCTTGCACGTATGCCTGGCTCTCAGAAGCCAGAAGAGTGTGTTGGATCCTCTGGAACTGGAGTTATAGATGGCTATGAGCTGCCATGGGGGTGCTGAGACCTGAACTCAGGTCCTCTGCAAGAGCAGTAAGTGCTTTTAACTGCCGAGTCATCTCTCCAGCCCAGATAACATCTTCTGCTACCACTTTCGGTACTTTTCAAAAATCCATTTCCTATTGCTAGGTGTCACGTGCTTCTTGGTTGCTGGCCCCTCGTTCTCGTTTCCATGTTTCCATCTTCTCTCCCCACTCCATCGGGCACTAGTGGCTTTTATCTGAGCATCTGTATTTTAATATTTTCTTCCCTTATCATAGGCCTTTTTGAGACAGGGTCTCCCTGTAGCCCCAGCTGGCCTGGACCTCACTATGTAGACCAAGCTGGCCTTGAACTCACCAATATCTGCTTGCCCCTGCCTCCCAAGTGTTGGGATTACAGGTGTGTGCCACCACACCTCGCTATTTTGACATTTTCAATCGCTTGTTAAAAGTTAGTTTTTCCAATTGGCTTTAAAATTCGTATTTCCAATGATCTCCTATGTTTCTAAGTCTCAGCTGCCTCTTGACTTGTGGCTTAAAATAACCTCATTAAAATGGGATACCTGATTCTATTCTTTCTTCTCAATTTCAAGACCCTAAAATATTTAAGCAAAGGATATATGTCTCCAATTAGCAGTATTAAAATCATGTTCTCACTGGTGGGGTGTATGCTTAGCATATGTGTGAGGCCCGGGGTTAAATTCTTGGAATTAAAAAAAAATATGAAAGCAAAAGAAAATCAGTTTTTTTGTGTGTCAAGCAAGACAAATTTTAAATAGCAGAATGAAAATGATGGTCACCATTGTAAAAGCACATCCAGAGACATTTATGAAACACTTATCATGCTGTCACGAGGAGGTGTCATATAATTCACAGTAATTAGGAAGAATAAAGTTTTGAAAGAAAACTGTATCCGTGAATACAAAGAAAAAAGTAAATGATATAATTTAGAAAGAAACATCCTATGAATAAAAGATGATAAATTTCACTCAGGGAAAAGCACTGGTGGTGCACGTCTTTAATCCCAGCACTCAGGAGGCAGGGGCGGGTGGATGAATCTCTGTGAGGTTGAGGGTAGCCTGGTCTCCATAGCTAGTTCCAGGCTAGCTGGGGCTACACCTGTCTCAAAAAGACAAAAAAAAAAAAAAAAAAAAAAAAAAAAAAAAAGTATATCCTATGTCATATTTACTATGTAGTCATTAATTTGTTATTCATATAGTCATGCATATTCTGCCTTTTAGGTCAATGGATGTATTAAAAAGTAAATTTTATTGTTCCTTGATTATGTAAATCAAGCCATACTTTTGAATGTCAAACCCTCTTTTTTAGAAACAGAGAAAGATTTGGAGAAACTCCCATTAACATAAATAAAGATGTTTTTAAGGGCTGTAAGATAAGCATGAGACTAAAACACACACAGAAACACTTTCTTTAGGCTGCTGAACTATCAAGTCTTCAATTCTCCATTAAAAAAAACAAAACCTTGATTATAAGCTTTCAAATTATTTAAAGATGTGAAAGCCTGTCTGCAGTTCAGCCTAGTTCAAAGCCAGCACAGAAATCATCTCTTCTTCTTCCAACTCAGAGTATGTTTAGGAAAAGGACATCTGATAGAAGTGGTAATGCCAGTCTAACCAATTTAAAATATAAAATGCTTCTAGCAACGTTTGGATACATATAATTTGACAAAAGTTTTATAAACTGTAGCTTTGAAAAAAGTAGAAACTATAAGCTCCAACAAAAAAGCTTAATATGTAATTGAAAGAAAATAATATTTTGTAGAAAAAAAAGTCCTTCCAAAAAGAGACAAAAATGACTTTTATTTCCCAAGAGAATTATGCCACTTTTATACAACAAAATTACAGCCACCACAAATTGCTTTCAACAATTCCATTGCTTCTTCATTTGACCACTTGAAAATCAAAATTCTTTCAGATTATAAATATAACTTTTTATAACTCTGTTATTACGTACTGTGAATGGGGACAGGGGGCCAATCTTGTGGCCATAGCGTCGAATGGCCTCTCTGATGTGGCAGGGCTGGATGGCATCGCTGTGAGCCTCAACACCACAGGCCGCAGTGCTCTGGGACATAAAAACACATAAATTGTTACTAAATCAAAAACACACAACAGAACTACAGTGTATAAAATATGAAAATAAACCTTTATAAAATGGACCATTTTTCCCTTAGGATGCACATCACTGCTGCCATACATCTAAAAGAAAGTTCCATTAACAAATCAAAGATGACTTTTCCATGACCCCTTCGGAGCAGACCTACCAAATGCAGTTTTTATGCCTCCAATATTTCACTGCGGCCTGGATGTCAAGGTAGGGAGACTACAGCCACGTGCGTGCCGGGGAAAAGTGTCACGGGAGCTTGTTGAAAGGACCACAGGAAGCTCTTTGTAAAAACGCTTAATCATTTATTATTATAAATGTTTCTTAGGAGATTCGTGGGCATATTTTTGAAATTTCTTGAGGATCATGAATTTAAAATGAAAAATGTAAAATTGCTATATATTTACTTATCATACTGAGAAGGGTTGTCACAGAGGACCATTTAACTTGACCCCTAAAATATTTTAGGTGTTCTTGGGATAAAACAAACAAAAGTTTCCTATTCTATCTGTCACATCTGTAAAGGGCATGTTTGAAAGCACAAAAAGACACAAGGAAAAGGAAGTTTGTGTATGATGAGAAAATGAATACAAGCTCAGGAACCAATAGATGTGTGTATGTAACATGATTTCCAAACAATTAAAAATGCTTTACACATTTAGTCAAGTCTTCTGGTTCAGGTGCATGTTTGAGCTTGGGCCCAACAATCTTGAGTCCAGACTGCAACACTATGTTACCAGCACTATCAGTATCTCTGGGCCTCAGTTTTCTCATCTGTAAATTAGGATAGTCATAATAAGTGCTGTATAGGATTGTTGAAAAAAATTAAATGAACTGAGATTATAAAAGATACATAGAACAGTACTTGACACATTATGTCATTAGTAGGATCAGATTATTATTTAAATTAAGGATTGAAAATGGAACTACCATGTGCTTGAACAAGTAATTAAAATTTTATTTACTTTATGTGCATGAGTGTTTTGCCTGCATGTATGAAAGTGCATTGTGTGTGCAATATCCACAGAGGCCAGAAGAAGGTGTTGAATCCTTGGAACTGGAGTTATGGATGACTGTTAGCCACTATGTGGGTGCTAGGAACCAAATCCGGTCTCTACAAGAGTAGCCAGTGCTCTTAACTGCTGAGTCATCTCTCCAGCCACCCCTCTCCCCATGCTTTAAATTTAGAGTAAGGTAATTTAAAGCATAGTAGGCACCAGATGTCAGGCCATCGACTTTACAGAAAAAGATCCATTCAGTTTGCATATTGCTATAATTATGGTCTAGAACTCATTTATAGTCACCTAATTATCATGATTTGTTTTCCTGATCCTACAGCAACTATAATTTTTCTGATAAGTCTCAAAACATTTGCATCATAATTCCTCACAGAAAATATAATTCTATGGGTAGCAACCTCTATGGACAAAAATTTGAGAAGATCTTGTCAAAACGAAAAAACACTTCTTTGACTCAGCAATTTTACCTTTAAGAATTTTCATAACAACATATTATAAGGGTACAAAATAGAATGTATATACACATAAAACTATTTAATATAGTACTATCTGAATTGTCAACTAAATGCTTACCAGTGCGGAAACTGGCTAAATAAATTATGATATATCCATTTAAAGAAACAGAAAAGATGATACCCACTTATAGGATCCCTCCACAATCACCCACATTGTGTGGTTCCCAAGGTAAGTTAGCTGAAAAACTGCAGTTTCTAATCACTTGGCACTCACTGTATTACTGCTTGACAAGAAGAAAGACTGAATACTGTATACTCACTGCAACATAAACTGTCTTGTGAAGGTATACCGAATATCAGAAACAGGGCTCTCATGAAGGGTAAGTGGGTCGCTGGAAGACAGGGGTCCAAGGAGACTTAGTTTTCATTATGTATTCCCCCTGTACTTTGGAAACACACTTTTATGCTATGTGCACACTCTTTCTATGACAAACCAGCAGAAAAGTTTAAAATTCCTATAAAGCAAGAATGCCTGCCAGGTGTCTAAGCTGAACTTCAAATAGGACTGAAAAGATAAAGCAAAATGGCTCCTGATTACCTTTATTATTACAACAAGAGTTGGAATGAGCCAAATAGGAACTATTCTAGAATGTCTTTCTCGTTCTCACTCCAACAATACCCTAAATAGCGTCTCTCCTGAGCCCACAACATAAGCTACCTTAGCCCTCTCTTTGGCAATGACATCAAAGCATACAGTGTTCCTTGAATGCTTGTCAATTCTCAGTCCAATCTATTTCATGAAGAATATACTAGAAAAAATGCAATTATCAGGTCCCCAGGTGAGGGCAGAGCATCTCTGGGGTGCCTGTTCTGCTCTACAATACAAATATGACCAGTGCTGCCTCATGCCTGCCTGCATAGGCCATCTGTGAAAGGTAGGTATGTCCTCTTCATTTGTGAAGTCATGTGCATTTAGCTGAATTTAAATTCTTCCAACAGAAACTCAAGAGGAAGTGAAGGAAGAGGTACCAGGAGGTCAGGATCCTCTGTGCTAAGTGAAGTTGGAAGTGTTTCATATACACAGAGCTTCTGTGGCAGTCTCCTAGATGCATTATTTTCCCTCTGCAAATTGGATTTGGTTTTCACTTCTTAACTGTGGCAGAGATAGCAGTTCCTGCAAATTCTCTAATACATTTTGTTTTGTTTATAGAACATGCCCCAAATCTTGTAAGAACTTAGAAATGGCGACAACTAAGCTTTGGAAACCCTGAAAGAGGAGACTGCTACAGTCAATGTGTCTGCTCTCTTCAGACTCATTGTGTTGAAATCTTAATGCCCAAGTGTTAGGATACAGGGCCTTAAGGAGGTGATAAAGTTATGAGGGTGGAGTCCACAGGCCCCATGTGAGGGTAGATGACTCTGTATAAAACCAGAAGTAGACATTATCTAGCCAATGAATTTGCCAGAATCTTGACCTTGGACTTCTTAGCCTTCAGAATGTGCAAAATAAACTTGCATTGCTTATAAGCTCACCAGTATTTTGCTTTAGTATTTCAAATAGACTATGATAGAGTAATAAATTAGGAATTACCTTCTGACTGCTATTTGTAAATATGGACACAAGACACATTGGCTCATGCTATTCTTGCCAAAAGAGCTGGAGTTATCATCACCTTTATAAAAATAAAACATGTACTTCTGTGAAAAACATCTCTTGATTTTCCACTTTGCCGGTTTTGTGTTCACCTGCCACAATCAGCAACTGTGAGCATCAGCATGTGTGAAGGTACCATGTGCATCCACATTTTCTCCATTCATCCACTGAGTTCACTGGAAGAGCTGCTGGCAACTTAAAAGTTTATATTCCCAGTAATTTTTTTCCATCTTTAACAAATACCTCTGTCAAAGTCCAGTTCCTTACCAAAGTACTTATAATCTGTTCAAACTAAACATTTATTCCATATTTAGAATTTTAACTTAGCAGTGAGTCCAGTATTTTCTAATATAGTCAAAGATGCTTCAGAAAAAACCAACACTAAATGTATTTGTTCTGTTAGTAAGAACCTTATACATACCTCAAACATATGTGAAGAGTATTAGATTTATATATAAATTCATTTTTCCTGTACTGATCAGTCCTACACTTTGTTTTGTTTAAATTTTCAAACACTAAATCTATATATTCGACACAATGCAGAGTCCCATTGCTGTAATGTCATCAGAAACATCTGTGGGGCCTGAACACTGCCATTCCTTCAGTGAAGTGGTGGAGCTGTCCATGTGTCGGGTCCTCTTCCTCTTGGCTACATTTTTACTCTAGTTGTGTATTTCCTACTCCATCTGCTTCTACATTCAGAGATGGACACTAGGTAATTCATTATCACAAGGAGTTCTATACACTCCTGAACATGACTCCTTGCCCATCTGTTTTTCCTAGATACTACTGCACAAAATCCTTAGCAGTTTGAATTCCCAGCTGTGGTAGATGGATATTATTAGTATATTAAAAGTTGTATGAATTCTGGATCTCTAGAAGTATCTATACCTGTTCTGTTTCTTTCTGTAAGCTCAAAAATCCCAGACAAGAAAAGAATGCCTTTTCTCAATCTTCTTATCAGAATAATTCAGAGTTCAAGAACCTGGAATCTCAAGAGAATTGCTTCTAATTCTTTCCCCATTTATAATGGCAGACTAGACTTATGCTCATCTTGAAAATGTTAATCTTAGATAGAAATATCGCATATCTCAGAGTAGAGCAGATGAAAGGTTAGGGTCACTATTAATTGTACTACGGCCACTCATCGACCATAAAGGTGATGTGTTATCTGGCCAGATAAAGTGTCTCTCCCTGGACTGTTACACACACAGCTTCAGAGCTTCATTTTCTAGGGTTTCTCCTCAGACCAAAGTGTGTCATGTTTCTCTCCAGAGGTATAGTATATATCTACATACTATGTATATGTGTGTATATGTCTATAGATACACACACACACACACACACACACACACACACATATATATATATATATACATATTAGCCAAATTTCTCATTTCAGGGTTTTTGTCACAATGATTATTCTTAAAATGATAATTTTATACAACTAGAAAAAGTTTATCTTTAATCAAGGAAATTGAAACTAGAAGTCACTCAAGGAAGACAGGAAAGAAACACTAAATTTA